CTGTCGATGATTCTACAATGCTACTCCTTCACTCTTTCCCCAGGTTATGTCCACTTGCCCTTTCATTATTTGACAGTGCGGCCAAACATAGAATTCAGGTAATGCTACATTCACTTTGAACTGTGAAGGCCGGCAGTGCCGGGAAATTGATGCCTTTCGTATTTGCTACTCAGTGCAACTAATGAAATTAGATCTATGCGTTATCATTTCAACTTTTTTCTAGCTATCGAACTCTTTGGTATGTGTTTAGACTTTAGAGTAACCGCTGCGTATCATCAATGGTAAACTAAACTTAATTAAAGACAGAAAGCTTAAACATAATATGTAACTAGTAACTGCATTAGGATACGTAGGGAGAATACATATGGATAAGCAGTTTAACAGAAGCACGGTACTAATTACTACTGCTCCTTATTTATCATATAGAAGTCCTATGTCTCAGCCATTAGTGAGAAATAGTAGATTTATTTGCGCAAATCTTTGAAGTAGGCAGCAGGGTTCCTCTCAAAGCTGTCTCTCGAGATTGTATAATCTCTTCCTGGCGCTTTCATAGAAGCCCCCGTCCCTCCTGCTGCTTTGGCTTCTCCTTGCTCCACCGGAGGACTTATTACCCCCAGACCCAGCATTTTGATTCCCTCCAGAGCCCTTGCTGCCTCCCATTTTCTACTACAAACTGCTTTTACTTTCCTTTTGCCTTTTGTTGGTTTTATGACCTGCATGAAGGGTGCATGGCTATATATATAATGCACTAATTTAAAGATTTGATTCTGGGAGGATTAATACAAGCATCGGAAGTGTTAGAGTACGTTGGAACATGAAGTCAAGGCTTGGAAATGAAGGATAATTAAGGATGGTAGTATTAAAAGTTAAAGTCTGCCATTTCCCAACAAGAAATGCATAATACAAAGCTTGAACACGTAATACAAGGACTCCTCCTTTGAAATGCCTTTTTCTTACCATTAATTAAGAAAAATGATAGTGCTATTCACACACTCATTTTTACCTTCTCCATTTCCTTGTTAATTTTTAGTCATGATCTTGTTCAAATTATTCGATTTGACGGCCGAAATTTGAGAAGAGTGTGTAAAAAGTAAAAATAGGTGTATTGATAGCATTATCTCAAAAAAAAATAAAAATAAAAAAATAAAAATTATGTTCGGGACTGCTTTTGGATGGACTAAAAGTGCGATCTGATAAATAAAAACACTATTGTATTTGACATAAAAACTTAAATTTTTTTAAATCATTGAAGCATTTTCTCAAGTAGTACTTTGCGATGCTTCTTTACAAAGTTTTCACAATTCCTTTTTTCATTTAGAAAGCACTTAAATTTTTAATAAAAAAAATCAACGCATTTCTTATAAAAGCACTTCTAGATAAAATGCTCATGAGCATAAGTGCTTCATAAAAAAGGGTCCTAAATGGGCCCCTAAATGGCAAATGACATAATAATGATTTATGTACACATTTGCGTGATTCATTTATTTATATAAAAATGACACATTTTACTTAACATAAGAAACGGTGGACAAAGATTTGTAACTCAGTTAGTTAAGAGTACTTATGACTCAGTTAGTTAAGAGTACTTATTTCATATCCCAGTCCGCATAGCAAGATATTATCCGCTTTGGGCCACGCCCTCATAGATTTGTTCTTGGGTTTCGGCACGAGAACTTCCCAGGGTGGTCACCCATCCTAGGACTGCTCTCACCCAAACTCACTTAACTTCGGAGTTCTTATGGGATCCAAAGCCAGTAAGTTCCCAAAATGTGTCTTGCAAATGGAGGTGAGCATGTACATATAAGGCATAGAGGATCCTCTCTCCTGGGCGATGTGGGACACTAAAGTCCACCCCCCTTAGGGGCCCGACGTCCTCTTCGGCACACTTCCGGCCAGGGAGTGGCTCTGATACCAAATTGTTGCATCCCAGTCCGCATAGCAAGATATTGTCCACTTTGGGCCAAAGTGTCCCACATCGCCCAGGGGAGAGGATTCTCTATGCCTTATATGTACATGCTCACCTCCCTTTGCAAGACGTGTTTTGGGAACTCACTGGCTCCGGATCCCATAAGAACTCCGAAGTTAAGTGAGTTTGGGCAAAAGCAATTCTAGGATGGGTGACCCCTTGAGAAGTTCTCGTGCCGAAACCCAATAATAAATCCGTGAAGGCGTGGCCCAAAGCAGAGAATATTTTGCTATGCAGACTGGGATGTGACAATTTGGTATTAGAGCTACTCCCTGGTTGGAAGTGTGTCGACGAGGAGGTCGGGCCCTTAAGGGGGGTGGATTGTAGTGTCCTACATCGCCCAGGGGAGAGGATCCTCTATGCCTTATATGTACATGCTCACCTCCCTTTGCAAGACGCGTTTTGGGAACTCACTGGTTCTTGATCCCATAAGAACTCTGAAGTTAAGTGAGTTTGGGCGAGAGCAATCCTAGGATGGGTGACCCCTTGGGAAGTTCTCGTGCCGAAACCCAAGAACAAATCTGTGAAGGCGTGGTCCAAAGCAGACAATATCTTGCTATGCAAACTAGGCTGTGACAACTTACCTATGCACCCAGTTCGATTTCCTCTCCTGAATATACTCAATTAGTTAAAAGTACTTACCTATGGGTGACTTCACTATGCACCCAACCTAAAGCAGCAACTAAGCCTAACTGATGCTAAGCCCAAGTGTAAATCCATATAAGCCCAAATCTGATAAACAGCTCCGAAGACACCACAAAATTTGACAAGAAGGAATTTGGAGAGTCCCATTTCTCAGGGCTAGGAAAGAAGGTAGTTTTCAGGTTTCTGTTAAGGGTGCTACAATGGAAAGTTGAAGGCTTTTCACCTTTTTTTCTGTGTAAGTTGTAAGTAACACCACCCAACCCATTCTTTTTCCTTTTTTTTTTTTTTTTTTTTTGCAGAAATTTTATCTGCATTTCTTTCTTATTTTGTCCGACTCCTTGTAATCACATACAAGGTCCTCTAACTTCCCATGACATTGAGCGGCCTACTTTTGTCCCGTAGATATAGAAGTTTCACAGCGGAGTCAAGAAATGGCAGCTTAAGGTTCATGTCTTTCAAAATTTAGAAAAGCCAACTTATTACAAGTCAAAACCATATGCATCCAAGAGTCGTAGAAAACGATGACATAATTTGTTATGCCAGCTGCAGTCTGAAAAGGACACAGACACTAATTTTACGAAGAAATTTTAGGCTTGGGAAAACTCATCAAAGAAACTAGAAAAACGTGGTGAAAGAGGGAATAGGGAAACAAATTAATAGTACGGTAAACGTATTTGGTGATTGATAGGGATTTTATCACCTGTAAAAATAGGGATAAAAACACTTAAAAATACTTGCAAAAGAACAAGGTTGTTGTAGTATAAATTGCTCAACTAAGGTCGTTTTCTGCAAGAATTGAATGAATAATATGTATTTAAACTAATTCTTAGCCAATTATTTGAAAACAAATATCAAAAAAGGTTGATTTTGAATTTAAAAATAATGAAAACAAATTTAATAAAATGATTAAATAAATTGACAAAGAAGAACTAAAGAAAATAGTTTTGAAAATAAAGTTAAAAGCCTATGGTTCCGCCATCCCCTTAACAATCCTATTTAGTTTTACCAGTTACTTATGAATTGCACATGCAACTTTGAAGGTTAGGTTTTCCTTATACATATTCTTCTCGTGATATTCAAGCAAAAGCGTATATCTAACATGCAATCCGTCTGTGATATTCAGATCAAATATGAAAATGCAAGACTCATTAAGTTTTATGAAAACCTTTTGAAAAACCATGCAACCCCTAAGAGCGTGATATTCGCCTTAGGTGAAATTACAATTATTAACCACAAGAAGCAATACTCAATCCTTCGGTGATATTCCGACCGAATTACATCTGATTACTTATCTAAACATCCTAATGGTAGCTAAGCATTAAGACATAGAGACAGTTCAAGCATAGTGATTAATAACTCAAAGTAAACATGCATAATATCATAAGCAATTGAATAAAGACTACATATTCATGCTAAGACTCAAGACTTCACCCTAGCAAACAAAAATTAGTTACGAACAACTATAAAAACTAAAGAAAATATATTAACTAGAAAAATGATTGAAAACACCTTGTAGGTAAAAAGTCTGTGAGTTCTCCAAAGTAATGCGTGCCTTCTCCCCCCAAACCCTAATGGCTAAAAACCTTATTTATTCTACTCCATATTAAAACCCTCATAGAAAAGGTTTTCTAAAAACTAGGAAATAAAATAATAAAAGGATAATTAGGAATTACATTTCTATTATGATTAGAAAATCTGCCTAAAACAGAGATAGCTACGTTTCTGGACTTTCAAAACTCCAAAACAGGCCCAAAATGACTCAAATTAAAGAGTAGGACCTCCTCTTAAAGTTCCAAGAAGAGCCCAAGTCCAAAATTGATCATCTTTCAGCCCAAAAGTTGCAAATAAGCTATGTAGCTCAATCTGCCAGAATTGCACGTTGGGTATAAATTAATTCACCACGATCAGATGCTTCGAGATAAAATTATGAAATTTTGAGACAGCCTTCTTGACAGATTCACGAACCCGCTCCAATTAGAATCACTCAAAAATTCCACCGTTTGATTACTTTATGCTCAAAACAAGTTCACATGTTTTACATTAAAAATACATAACAAAGCATCAAAATCTCACCAAAATAATAACCAAAATTACCAAGAATAGGACATAATATATCGTATAAAATCGACTCATCAGTAACAAATCCAGGAGATAATTCCAAAGTTATGTATCGAAAGTCGACAAATAGCAGCTTAAGGTTTCAATGCCAATGTATTGATGATGATGTTTGCCCTTTGGATTGTAGTAACTAGCAAGATAAGTAAGTGACACTCAGTAGCTAAATACCATCAGCAGCATCTTGTTAATTTGTGTTTACAATATAAAGAGCAGAAAAAACTTCAGAACGACGGACTCCAACTCGAAAAGAAATACGAAAAAATGGGTTCTTTAATGGGTTCTTTCGGAGGTTTAGTAATCATCTTCGCAAGCTTTCTGTGTCTGTTTCTTATCTTAGGTCTAATCAAGATCCTTCACAAGATATGGTGGACTCCGACTCGCATTCGGAAGCTGATGGCTTCACAGGGGATCCGAGGCCCTCCTTACCGACTTATCCATGGAAACACCAAAGAAATCTCTGACATGAGAAAGGAAGTCATGGGAAGGCCACAGATTTTATCACACGACGTACTTTCTGTTGTTCAACCTAACATGCACACATGGATCAAGATATATGGTGACACGCGAAATCTCGCGATTTTAGTTGACTACTACTGTTTTTGAATCTTAATTCCGTGGTAAATTTTGATCATTGTTTACATACTAATTACAGGGAAGAATTATCTTCAATGGCATGGTTCTACGGCTCAGTTGGTCATTACAGAACCCGAGTTGTGCAAAGAGATACTGAATAACAAAGATAGAGCTTATCCGAAAGCAGATACCCCAAACTTTGTGAAGAAGTTATTGGGAGACGGCCTAGCGGCAACAATCGAAGCTGAAAAATGGGGAAAATTGCGTAAACTGGCCACCCATGCCTTCCATGGAGAGACTTTAAAAGTAAGTCTTCAAGGTTACTTGTACTTTAGTGTAATAAACTGAAGGAGAATCTGCTAATATCATGATGGTATTGTTTCACTAGAGTATGATTCCGGAAATGGTAGCTAGTGCCGAAGCAATGCTAGAAAGGTGGAAATTTTTTGAAGGAAAAGAGATTGAGGTGTATGAAGAGTTTAGATTGTTCACTTCGGAAGTGATTTCTAGAACAGCATTTGGCAGCAGCTATATAGAAGGAAAGAACATTTTTGAGATGTTGATGAAGTTAAGCTCCCTGTTATTCAAAAATGCTTTCAAGGTCAGGGTTCCCGGCATCAGGTAATCCCTATTATTCTTTTTCGTTTGCCCATCTGCTATGCAACGGTGGCCCACTCAATATTCACCACAAGATTTGTTGACAGTTACTTCGGTCCTCACGGGTAGTCTTTTCATTTAATGCAGTAAGTTCTTCAAAACCAGCGATGAGATCGAATCAGATAAACTTGAGAAAGAAGTACATGCCACCATAATAGAGATTGTCAAGAAAAGAGAAAACAAGGCAGGGACTGAAGAAAAGGACAGTTTTGGAAGTGATTTTCTTGGATTACTTTTGAAGGCTCGTCACAGTGCCAATGACAACCAGAGGATTTCGGTGGATGAGTTAATTGATGAGTGCAAGACGTTTTACTTTGCTGGACAAGAAACCACTAATACTTTGCTTGGTTGGACCGTCTTTCTTCTGGCACTCAATACGGATTGGCAAGAGGAGGCAAGGAAGGAGGTCATACAATTATTTGGCAAACAAACTCCAAATCATGACGGCATTGCCAAAATGAGAACTGTAAGAATATCAAGAACTCTTTTTTTCTTTTTTCTGTTACAACATGTTTGAAAATTGATTATGTTATCAATTTTCCATTTCTATACAGATGAACATGATCATCAATGAGTGTCTGAGGTTATATACCCCTGCGGTTTACCTTACAAGGAAAGTTGAAAAGGAAGTGAAACTGGGAAAGCTCATCGTTCCTGCTAATCTTGAATTGGTTATCTCGACCATTGCACTTCACCATGATCCTCAAATCTGGGGCAAAGATGTCCACCTTTTCAAACCAGACAGATTCTCAGAAGGGGTTTTAAAAGCAACTAATAATAATGTAGGTGCATTCATACCCTTTGGACTGGGAACCCGAACTTGCGTGGGCTTGAATTTCTCGACAACTGAAGCGAAGATTGCTCTGTCGATGATTCTACAACGCTATTCCTTCACCCTTTCCCCGTCTTACGTCCACCTGCCCTTGCATTATGTTACTGTTCGTCCATATCATGGAGTTCAGGTGATTTTACACTCGCTTTGAACGGCGAAGAGCAGAGTTTCTCATGGTTCTTGCATTTGGGGTATCTGAATCACCTACACATTGATGCCTTTGATAAATACAATAAGTATAATAAAGAAATCTTGAACGTCATAAAAGTAGTTGTACACTCCCTTGTGAACTGCCCATGAATTCTGCACTAGGGCGTCAGGACTGTACGCAGCCTAATATGAGCACTGCAACATAAATAAAATAGGGGAAATTTTATTTAAACCCATGTAATATCTTTTTACACCCAACTTAAATTTTAAATGTTAATTGTCTATTTTACTCTATTGCATAATTAGTATTAAGTACAAAATGAAATTAATAATAAAACTCAAATTTATCAATAAACCCAAACACTATAATTAAACCCTACAATCACTCTTTGTTTATCCTACGTTCATTTTGGCTAAAACCCTAATAGGCTTCAACTCTTTAACATGTATATTCTTTAAATTTTATGTACTAAACTAGTATTTACGATTTAAAAGGTTGAGGGATTGTGTGAATTTGCAGCTAAATTAAAAGATTGAACTAGACATGTATCATTTAATTCTTTCGAATTTTGAAATGTGTATTTGTTTATTAATGCTTTTGGCAAGTATGTTTCTTTTGTGTTCTTGGTTCAGTGTTTGAATAGGATTATAGGACTGATGAGAACTAAACTCAGTTTGCTATCTGCAGATGTGGGTTAGACTAGTTGGTTGGGTCAGTGCGTCCACCTCCTTGTACCTAAGTTCAAATCTCCTCCCCGTAGATTATAGTAGTTTTAGATATATGGTTTGCTCCTGGCTCTAGTTTTGGTCACATGCTCATAGTTGCTGTTATTGGAATCGGTTTTGTTGAAAAAAATTTATTATTTATGGCTTAAGAAAGTAGAACTAGAGACATGCATGCTTGTTCTGTATGAGTTCAATTTCAAGGAGGAAGAAGAAGAAGAAAATAGTGTAATTAATCAATCTTAAGACTTAGTTTTAAAGAAATGGTGTTCAATATTCATCATTCAGCTTGAAGAGATCATGATCAGAGCTTTTAATTGCCAAAATTCAATGGTTGTATAACTTAACTTGGGAGAGACCAACAGTTATGGGTGTAAAAATAAATCTACATATTGAATTGGGTTTATGGGGGTATATTAGGCAGTAAATTAGGGTTTAAAGAGATATTAATAGTTTAGTTAAAAATCAAATGGGTTCAAAGAGAAGTTGAGTGTAGAAATATATTACATGGGTTTAAATAACATAGGCATCCGTTTCTTTTTAAAAGTTTTGTTCCTTTAAGTAAGAATTTTTTTTTTCTTTTGTCAAATTAGAAACTTTTATTAGTTGAAAAAGCTATTATATCTATATAGAAAGCCAATGGGAAATGTGAATAGTGATTTTGGTGTCACCAAGTTTCAACAAAAATATTTGGACAAAAAATCTTCAAAGGCATCCCAAAATAATGCATCAAATAAGGCAAGAGCATTTTCGTCATTTTAACAGTATTTTTTTAATAATTAATTTTTTTGTGGTTTTTTCTTTTTTTATTTAGTACCTCACAATAGGCTAGCAATAATGTGATTCAATTTCTCTATTTTTAAACACGTTCAAAACATCCTAAGAGATGTGTAATGCAGTTATAAAAAAGATCATTTGCACACAAATAATAACGTGATTAAATTAGTTATCAAATGATTATTTTTTATTTTTTAACAAACGATATTATCTACACTAAGGGGGAGTGGATGGGCTTAGCCTCACAATGGGCTAGATGTCACATCCCGACCAGGGTCCACCACATCCCGAGCTCGTTCCACCACCGTAGCACGATATTGTTCGCTTTGAGTCCCGACCACGCCCTCACGGTTTTGTTTCTAGGAACTCACACGAGAACTTCCCAGTGGGTCACCCATCATGGGAGTGCTTTCGTGCGCTACTCGCTTAACTTCGGAGTTTCCATGGAACTCGAAGCCAGTGAGATCCCACATCGGCCAGTGGAGTGATCCTTATATGTATATTCTCATCCCTACCTAGTGATCTAAAATCAAAGCGTGCTGGCTGTCACGCCTTGATTTTAGATCGGGGTGTGTCACTAGCAATAATGTGATTCAATCAAATATTTATTAAATGTTATTTTCTCTATTTTAAACACGTTTAAAACATCTTAAAGAGGCGTGTAATGCCAGTTATAAAAAAAATCTTTAGCACGCGGATAATAATGTGATTAAATTAGTTGTCAAATGATTTTTTTTTTTAACAAGCGAATTATCTACACTAAGGGGGAGGGGATGAGCTTAGTCTCACAATGGGCTAGCAATAATGTGATTCAATCAGTTGTTTATTAAATATTATTTTCTCTATTTTTAAACCCATTCAAAACATCTTATAAGGCGTGTAATGCCGATTATAAAAAAGGTCTTTCGCACACATAATAATGTGATTAAATTACATTAAATTAGTTGTCAAATGATTGTCATTTTGTTTTGACGAATGATATTATCTACACTAAGGGGGAGGGGTGAGCTTAGCCTCATAATAAGCTAGCAATAATGTGATTTAATCAGTTGTTTATTGAATATTATTTTCTCAATTTTTAAATACGTTCAAAATATCTTAAGTGTCACATCCCGGCTCGGGCCCCCTCACGAGCCTTACCCTGGCCGTGGTGTGCCGATGAGGACATCGGACCCCTAAGGGGGGTGGATTGTAAGATCCCACATTGCCCAGAGGAGTGGATCATGTAAGCCTTATATGCATATTTTCATCCCTACCTAGCATGAGGCCTTTTGAGAGCTCACTGGCTTCGAGTTCCATAGAAACTCCAAAGTTAAGCGAGTAGCACGCGAGAGCACTCCCATGATGGGTGACCCACTAGGAGGTTGCTCGTGAGTTCCTAGAAACAAAACCGTGAGGGCGTGGTTGGGGCCCAAAGCGGACAATATCGTGCTACGGTGGAGTCGAGCTCGGGATGTGGTGCAGGCCCGGGCCAGGATGCGACATTAAGAGGTGTGTAATGCCGGTTATAAAAAAAGGTCTTTCGTACGTTGATAATAATGTGATTAAATTAGTTGTCAAATGATTATTATTATTATTTTTTAACAAATGATATTATCTACACTAAAAGGAAGGGGTAGGCTTAGCCTCACAATGGGTTTGCAATAATATGATTCTATTCAATATTATTTTCTCTATTCTTAATGTAAATTCTATAGAGATCGATTTTATTATGTGAATTTAGCTGCTTTAATTGGTTTATGAGGGTTTTCTTCTAGCTTGATCTAAGATTATTCATTTACTTCAGTTGTTTATTAGTTAGCTGCTTTCGCATGCAGATAATAATGTGATTAAATTAGTTGTCAAATGATGTTTTTTTTAACAAGCGAATTATCTACACTAAGGGGGAGGGAATGGGCTTAGCTTCAATATGGGTTAGCAATAATGTGATTCAATCAGTTGTTTATTAAATATTATTTTTTCTATTTTTAAACATGTTCAAAGCATCTTAAGAGTCGTGTAATGCTGGTTATAAAAAAAGGTATTTCGCACGCGGATAATAATGTGATTAAATTAGTTATCAAATGATTGTTTTTTTTTTTAACAAATGATATTATCTATACTAAGGGGGTGGGGGTGGGCTAATGTGTTTCAATCAATTGTTTATTAAATATTATTTTCGCTATTCTTAATGTAAATTCTATAGAGACCGATTTTATTATGTGAATTCAGCTATTTTAATTGGTTTATAAGGTGTTTCTTCTAGCATGATCTAAGATTATTCATTTACTTCAAATATTTGACTTTTCTTTTGTCAATTTATGTATATAAATACATTTAAAACGTGCAAGTCGTGCGTAACATGCCGTAATTCAAAAAAATGCCTTCTGCACGCGCTTATGTGATTAAATTAGTTGTCAAATGATTGTTTTTTTTTTTTTTAACAAACGATATTATCTACACTAAGGGTGAAGGGGGTGGGCTTAGCCTCACAATGGACTAGCAATAATGTGATTTAATCAGTTGTTTATTAAATATTATTTTCTCTATATTTAAACACATTCAAAACATCTTAAGAGGCGTGTAATGCCGGTTATAAAAAAAGTATTTCGCAAGCGGATAATAATGTGTTAGTTGTCAAATGATTATTATTTTTTTTTAACAAACAATATTATCTACACTAAAGGGAGGGGTGGGCTTAGCCTCATAATGGGCTAGCAATAATGTGATTCAATCAATTGTTTATTAAATATTATTTTCTCTATTCTTAATATAAATTCTATATAGACCGATGTTATTATGTGAATTCAGCTGCTTTAATTGGTTTATGAGGGGTTTTTTCAAGCATGATCTAAGATTATTCATTTACTTCAAATATTTAACTTTCCTTTTGTCAATTTACGAATATAAATACATTTAAAACGTGCAAGTTGCATGTAGCACGCCGTGCTTCAAAAAATGTCTTCTACACGCATGTGAGCGCATGCATGAAGTCTAGTGAAATAGAAAGTCCAAAGGTAGTTCAAATACAAACATAGCCTAAAAGAAAATAAAACATAAATGCTCAAAAAGAGCAAGCCCACAAAAATAAAAACTTTAGATTTGAAAGATTGCTACCTCCATCACAGCAGTTGCGCCGCCATCGCTAACACGCCGCCACCGCCAAGAAGACGAAGCCACGAACAAGCTGGATGAACAAAAATGGGGGTGAGCGAGCCACCCGCGCAAAAAACGCTCCCATAATCCTACCAATTAGTGCTAAAGTACTTTAACAACCACCCAACACCAAAGTGCGCGGCCAATGGGGGACAAGTGATGGATCGAGTAGCAAAGGTCGGTGGTGAAGAACTAACGACAGGGAGAAGCAATGGAGTAAGATAATTAAACATTTCAGTTTCAATTAATGCATGATTGTTAGAAAATAATTAATTAATCTTGAATCTTCTTCATGATTGTAGCATGTAATATAGGAATGTAATTTTCAATTATAATTTTTTTTTTTTTGAACAAATGATAATATCTACACTAAAGGAGTGGAGGAGTGGGCTAAACTTTACAAGGGTTTGCCATAATAATGTGGCTCAACTTCGCCTTTAATGATAATCGAACCTAAGACATCTTATTTACAAGTAAAGATGAATATCATTAAATCGTAATACTAAATGGTTTTCAATTGTAACTAATGTAGGATTTGTACCTCAATAGTCAATAATATAACCCTACACATTGTACTATTTTCCGATTATTAATACAATTAGCCGTAATTCTACATGGCACCACGCGTTTAACTTTTTCTTATGTCTTTTCTTTCATTCGAGTTCCGTCCTCAGCACGCACCTAATTTCAATTGCTGGTTGTTTGCCTGAGCCGGGGTCCTGTCGGAACTGGTGTGTCCTGGTCTTAGTCGACAAGATTACATGATACAATTGAGGTTGACTCTCAAATCAAATCATGTTTTTTCTTGTCTAACGAGAAGTAGGTTTATCTCCAAGTATTGTTCATGTCTAACGAGGAAGAGCCTTATTGAAAAGACGTTGAATATCTTTTACTTTTTCATAGAAGCACGAAACTGTTGATGTTGATCTCGAATAAACAAATTAATATAAATATATACCACTTCATTTTCGAATTCATTTTAATTGGAATATCAAAATTGAATTATTGGAGTTACATATTATGTTGTCATTATTTTTGTCATTCATTAACTCTAACTTATCATAATGTCAGACTTTTTTTTTTTTTTAAATTCACATAGATTCCACAACTTCCTCCTACAATTAAAATTCACAATTTTTTTTTAAAGTAGGTGTGGGGGCTTAATAGCAGAAGTTGAGCTTGAATTCAATCATTCAAGGCTACCATCTGCAAATCTCCTCCCCACAGAAATTGCAGTGATCGAATCGATCAATTCATCACCATTCTCTCTCTCGGATTCATTCCTCCCGATGGGGTCATCGTTCTGATGGGGATGAAAAGGAAGTGGAAAAGTAGCGGAGGAGTAGTCGCCGGAATTGCAGAGGCTGTAAAGGCCGCATTTTCAGAAAGAGAAGGGCTTTTTTTTTTTTTTTGGGAGGAGGAAGGAAATGAGTTGATGGGCAATTAATCAATAGTTAGTGGTCATTCCAAGTTGTCTTTTAGAAAATGGGTCTATTACATTTAGTTTGTAAATTTAGTTTACTTTTTTTTTTTTTTTGAAAAAGTGATATTATCTTCACTAAGGGGAGGGTGTGTGTTTAGCCTCACAATAGGGTAGCAATAATGTGGTTCAAACTCACCTTTAGCGAGAATCGAACCTAAGATCTTTCACTTGTAAGTGAAGAGGAATATCACTACATCTTAGTACTAAGTGACACAAATTTAGTTTACTTAACATTACTCTTTATAAAAAGGGCTATTCCCTGTTTTTTTTACTTATTTTTTTTATTTTTCAAAAGCGACCGTTGAAATAATTTTATTTATTAATTTTAAAAGTTAAATTCAGTATTACTAAGATTCGATGTAAAAATGGAGTGCTGTTGTAAACTAACTGACGCCTTCGCCCTTTTTTTTTTCGGACGGCGGACCGGCATAAGAAATAAACTAACACATGTGGGGTTAAATAAGAATTTACTGTTGTATTATTAATTTGAAAAGCTGGCAGATGGCAGCCTAACATTCCAACGAGTCAGCATGGACGGCGATATTTGCCCTTCAGGTCGCATTAAATGGCAGTAGTACGTGAAGCGAAAGCAACAATCCAGTAGGGTCAAACGGACATTTTAATTATCTTACCTTTCTGCACACAACACGTTAAACAACAAAGCCGAAGTGAAAACTCAGCAGCTTCAGAGAAGAGAAAACCAATCAGTACCAAAAATGGTTACTCTGGCAGTGGGAGGGGTGGCAGTCACTCTCTCAAGCCTTCTGTGTGTGGTTCTTGTCTCCGTTCTGGTGAAGGTCCTTCACAAGCTCTGGTGGACTCCCACTCGAATCTCGAAGTTGATGGCGTCTCAGGGTATCAGAGGCCCTCCTTACAGATTCATCCATGGAAACACCAAACAAATCGCCACCATGAGAAAAGAAGCCATGAGCAAGCCGAAGGATTTATCCCACGACATACTTTCCGTTGTTCAACCGCACATGCACTCTTGGATCATGATTTATGGTAACGAAAAACAGAACAACCTTAATTTTCGTAAACTATCGTTTTTCTGTTTTTTTTTTATTTTATATTTTGGTTCGAGATTATTTTTGGTGATATTGGTATGGAATTACTTACAGGGAAGAATTATCTACAGTGGCACGGTACTCGGGCTCAGTTTGTGATAACGGAGCCTGAGTTGTGCAAGGAGATACTGAATAACAAAGATAGAGCGTATCCGAAAAGAGCGGTTCAGGGCTTTGTGAGGAAGCTGTTGGGGGATGGGCTTGTCTCAGCGACCGACGGTGAAAAATGGGGGAAACTGCGAAAGATCGCGAACCATGCCTTCCATGGAGAGAGCTTAAAAGTAAGTTTTTGCAGCTAATTGTACTGTGGTAAATGCTTGTGTTAAGTATTTGAATAGGAAAAAGGAGGGATTTGAGGTGAATTTGATGATGGGATGATGTCATTGTTTTACCAGAGCATGCTTTCGGAAATGGTCGCGAGTGCTGAGACGATGCTTGAAAGGTGGAAAGACTATGATGGAAAAGAGATTGAGGTGTTTGGAGAGTTTAAGCTGTTCAGTTCAGAAGTGATTTCAAGAACGGCGTTTGGAAGCAGCTATATTGAAGGAAAGAATATTTTCGAGATGTTGAATAATATCGGCTTCCTGATATTCAAAAATGCTCTCACAATCAGAATTCCCGGCATCAGGTAATTTCCTTTTAATTGAAAGGATATCCATTTAGTCACTTCTCTTTAGTTATTGAATCTCTGATTGATTCGTTAGTGGGTTTTAAATCTTCGATGTTTTTTGTATCAAATGATCTTTTGATTGATCAATTGGAACTTTCAATTTGCTAGAGTCTACTGCTGGAACAGCATTAAAAATTGAATATGGGACAATACATTCTGTTCCTTGCGATGTTAACTAGCACATAATCATGTCTAAGCTGTTCTCACAACTTGATTTTCGGATGATTGCTTCTGTCCTTATCTGTAGTCTGTCATTCAATATGCAGCAAGTTTTTGAAAACTAGAGATGAGATTGAAGCAGAAAAACTTGAGAAAGCAGTACATGCCTCCATAGTAGAGATTGTTAAGAAAAGAGAAGAGAAGGCTATGACCAGAGGAGAAGACAGCTTCGGAAGTGATTTTCTTGGATTACTTGTAAAGGCTTATCATGATTCCAATGACGACCAGAGGATTTCAGTGGATGATTTGGTCGACGAGTGCAAGACCTTTTACTTTGCTGGACAGGAAACCGTTAATACTTCGCTTGCTTGGACTGTGTTTCTTCTGGCACTCCATACGAATTGGCAAGAGGAAGCAAGAAAGGAAGTCATACAGTTATTTGGCAAACAAACTCCGAATCACGATGGCATTGCAAAAATGAAAACGGTAAGAAAATCAAGAACGCAATCACATGTTTGTCTAAGTGGAAGAATCATGTCTTCGATTAAGCTTGAATTCCTGATTTATTGTCTATATCAATTTTCACGCAGATGAGTATGATCATCAATGAGTCTCTAAGGTTATATACCCCTCCAGTTTCAATTACAAGGAAAGTTGAAAGGGAAGTTAGACTTGGACAGTTCATTGTTCCTGCTAATGTTGATTTAGTTATCTCGACCATAGCAATTCACCATGATCCTCAAATCTGGGGGAAAGATGTACAACTCTTTAAACCAGACAGATTCTCGGAAGGGGTTGCAAAAGCAACTAACAATAACGTAGGCGCATTCATACCCTTTGGACTGGGACCTCGAACGTGTGTGGGCTTGAATTTTGCAACCACTGAAGCAAAGATTGCGCTGTCGATGATTCTACAGCGTTACTCCTTCACCCTGTCTCCAGGTTACATCCACTCACCCTTGCATTATCTGACATGTCGTCCACAACATGGAGTTCAGGTAATGCTGCACTCACTTTGAACTGCAAAGACTAGAATTTCCATGATTCTTGCACTAGGTGGATCGATCAAGCACAGAGACTAGTTACTAGCAGGAGCAAGCTTTTTGTGCACTTATCTTATTTGGTATTTTTAGTCTGAGCAATCTTCCATCTACTATCATTTAACGTCAACAGACTCAACACAACTATGTTAATCCGTTGTCATTTAAGCTTTTCGAGACAATTGTTCTCCTTTGTTTGCAGCATTTTTAAATAATCCAAAGCTTTTATCTTACAATTGTAAACATCTGTCCCAACAATGCTAACGTCGTAAGATGAGCAAGAATTGCTTATGAAGAATGGATGGATATCGACATAAAACAAGGAGAACTAAAAGCCATAATTTTCAGTTTTACTCATCATCGAAGTATAACAAGTGTAAATAACGAAACAGAAAGCTTAACCACAATTGTAATTTTAATAACTTAACATAGATAGGGACACAACCGCGATGACTAGTACTACTACGCTTTATTCTATGTAAATTGTAACATCTCATGGAGTAGCGAGTGGTGAATAGCAAGAGTCGTTTATTTACGCAAATATTTGACATCGGCAGTAGGGTTGCTCTCAAAGCTGTCCTTGGAGATTGTAGCATCTCTTTCGGGTGCTTTCGTTGTTTTGTCTTCGGTACCAGTACTCCCTCCTGCTTTAGCTCCTCCAGCACCATCAGGTGCCACATTGGAGGAATAAACCTCAACCCCAGCATTTTGATTTTCTTCCACAGGGATATTAGTATTCGATTCTTTGCTGGCTTCCATTTTCTAGTCCAAACTTCTGGGTTTAGGTGTTTCGGGTTTAGTCAGATAATCCGTAGTGCTAGCTTATCTGGTTGGTTTTGTAAGTTATTTGAAGGGTGCATGGCTATATCTATATAGATGGAAAGATAATGCAGTGCATTTATTTGGCTCTGGGAATTTGAAGAAATCATGCATCAAATAATAGAAGCATCGAACTGTACCGATATTGACTGTTTGTTCATTCACTTGACTCTTTCCAATTACGTTAAACTAGCCTTTCTGCATGCGCAAGGCGTGTGCGAAATGCTTTTTTTCATCACGACGTGCTACACGTGGCATACAAAGTTTTTATCCCTTCCACATTTGTGTATGCATAAAAACATGTTTTCTTCAGAAACACTTCATGTGTTACATGCATTGATTTTATATGTCCATAATTTCCATATTAAGGGATTGATAAAATTAATTTTGATTGGGGCCTATCAACTCTCCAACTTTTCCAAAGGTTGTTGCTAATAAGAATTTGTGTACTTCACGGCAGCAGAGTTGATAGCGGCCTCTTTAGCAGCCTATAAACTTCATTCCTACATGGTTTTATATTCTGGACAATGCAAAATGCAACTTAATAGAATATAAAACAGTAATTTTCTGCGAACATTGTCCGAAGTATCTAAGAGAGTTGGAACTTTTGGCTGCCACATCCGTTCGGTATCAAAGTGAATAGTTGATTCTGTACAACTACACAATCCCTCGCACAAAGTAAGGGAACATTATAAATTATCAAAAGAATATAAAGAGTTTTTATATGTGAAATAAGTGAAGAGACAGAGGAATCATGCATACTCCAATGAAAATAATGTACCATACAAATTAGTAAGCAAGTCAAGAAACTACCAATGAGAATAAAATGATTCCACTTTTATCTTCCAACATTCTTAGAACCTATAAAATAGAAGATAAATTTGCAAAATTGTTAGGAATACAAACTCCCAAACCTGTACATGCTGATTGAACCAACTCACTCAAACATTCGACTTTGATCGAATTTGGATCTTGATTTCTTCCTTTTGCTGCAACAATTTTCTCACCACGTTTTATATTCTTTCTAATTCCTCGTGCCAAAGAATTCTTCCTGCAACACATTCGTTTATGGCTTCAAAACGACGATTTAACATAATCAAACCACATCTCTTGGTGTTCATGCTTCAAAGGTGCCTGTGCAATAGAATAGCATTAGAAATAAGTGAAGAGACAGAGGTAGATTACCTATAGGCGGACAAACAAACATAAAGAAATCCAAAAACGATCATCCCAAACCTGCACTAACCGAAATAGAATTGAAATTAAAACTATGATTCTGATTTGACAGAGAACTGAGGAATAGCCAAGCTAGGAATACCATAAGTGCTCGACAGATAGTCGAATTGATGAAAACACAAACGAACAACATCAGTAACGAATCATGGTATTCTTTCGACTACAGATCAAAAGGACAGAAGACCACTCCTGTGTGAGAAGTGCCTGAAGTGATAAGCAAGTAATCGTTAAGTAAACCAAACTTAAGCAAAACTAAAGGATGCTGATCAGAAAGTCCAAGCAACAAATAAGAAAATTTTCGAGCGGTGCAACCATGTAAATGAACTCTCCACCGACGTCCCTCCACCAACTACCCATTACAAAATATGCATAAAAAATAGATGCTGATCAAAAGTCCAAGCAACAAATGAGAAAATTTTCGAGCAGTGCAACCATGTAGAAAAAGAAAAAGACCATGATCAATTACTCTGCTGCTCTCTTTTTGTGATCCACTGAATTTTTCAGAGCTTCGACTTTGTAGTCCCAATCCTTTTCACGAATCTGCAAGAAACAAAGAAAATGAAAATAGTGAAAAATTAGAACTGGACTTGGGGATTTTCCGTGGCTCTGTAGATGCCTAATCTCTTAATCTCACCCATTGCATAAGATAGTCACCATTCCCAAATTAACGACAGAAAAAAAAAAAAAAACCCCTAGTTTTTTAAATTGGGAAGTTGGGTACTTGGAGAAGATGGCAATGAAGGCGCCGGGATGTAGGTGGAGGAGAGAGAATTGCTAATATCACTTCTTGTTTTGGGTAGCAATATAAAAAAAACTTCAAATTTTGCATCCAAAATAAGAAAGATGAAAATTTAATGGACAGGAAATCTAGCAATGAAGGAAAACACAGACTCACAACTACACGTTTCTCACCAATACATTTAACCAAACACCCACTGTGCGACAGAGTAAGCAATTAATGTGATAGTCGACCTTCTCAATTCAATTAGTGTGATAGTCGACCTTTCTCAATTCTTTGAGCTTCTGCAATTTTCCCATAAAAACTATTTCAGTTCGTTCAATTGAAAAAAAAAAAAAAAAAAAAAAAAAAAAAAAGGAATCACCAATCAAATATCCACAAAGATCCAACGATAATTAATTTGCATAAAATCAGTTGCAGATTTTCATAAAATATTAAAGGAAAAAAAAAAGTAAAGCAGTTACCTGTGACCTGAACAGCAAAGTAAGAATGAATGAATGTAAAACTGTCATCTGATTTTCAAATGTGCAGGACGACGACGCTTTCTTTTCCTTCCATTACACGGGTTCTTCTCGCAAGATAGTGGGAAGAAAACTGCTTCTACTATTTTGTTAATTTAATTTTTTTTATCACAAAATTATCTCTGTTATTTTGTTTTTATTATTTTCAGCTGGTTGTGGATTTTTTTTGTTTGAGGGGCTTTATAGTCCAATTTTTTTTGGTGAAGTCTTGAGACACCAAACTCTCCTTTTGACTTTCTAATATTAAAGATAAATTTTGGACCAAAAAAAATTACTTTGGATAAATATTTTACTTGAACATGGTGCCTTCAATCCCAACTCTTAAGGCCATATTCTGAATGCAAATACTCAATTGGCATTTGCTAATTAGTAATTAGTTGGCATTTTATTTTCTTCAAAAATAAGATGCCTTACCTTGGGTTGATGTTTCATGAACCCATTTGACCGATTCGATTGTGATAAATATGAAGTAAATAAGATGATGATGGGAAAAATGGTCGTGTTTTTTTCTTTCCAATTTCGTTCGACTTGTGGATTTATAAAATTGACCTCGAGAATTTGATCGTGAAAGTCACGTTATTGAACTTAATAAAATTGTGGATAAAAATTGAATGCATGTGGAATGCACTAAAAAATTATTAGTAATCTGTAGGCCCAAATAAAACTCATTTGGAAAGAGAAAAGAATTGCAAGGCCCAAATAAAATAAAATCAAACAAAAGAAAGTCCAGGGTACGCAGGCTTAGAAAGCAAAGATATCAAAGGCCCAAAGAATATTCCTCTTCATTTGTAATTTAATCTTTATTTTAAGAGTAAATTACCGATTTAGTTACCCAAATGAAAATTAGGTCCTTAAACTTTTTTTTTTTTTAGAAAAATCAGTCTTTAAACTAGTACAAATCCACCGATTACATCCCTAACAATAGATTCGAAGCTATTCTATTCAATTTTTCGTTAATTTAAGTCACGTGACTTACATTTGATACACTTAAAGGGTAGATTGATAGTTTTTCATAGTTTTAGGACCTATTTTTTTTCAAAGACATAGTGTACACAATAACTTTGGAGGGTAAATAAAATGTTATATTTGCAACCTATATGCAATGTTAAGGTCTTATAGGCAAGAAAATAACAGCATTATCCTCTAAATGTGTCATGTGACTTAAATTGACGAAAAATTGGATAAAATAGCCTCCAATATAACATTAGAGATGAGATCAGTAGTTTTTATGAATTTAGGGACTTATTTTACTGAAAAATAATTCATGGACCTAATTTTTACTAAGGTAATAATTCAGGGACTAAATCGGCAATTCATCCTTATTAAAGATCAACCTTATATACTTTGATCTTTGATTTAAAGATGGCTCTTTATAGCCACCTAATAATACGTTTAGTGGTATTCTTCTTTATTTATAAAGATATGTCTTAAATTTAAATCTTGTGAATGAAGAGTTAAATGCCAATTCACCTTTTATATCGTTGCATCAGATAAAGATGAGGCTTATTTAATACAGACGTAGATTTACAACATACTGAGGTAACCACTAGCTAGGCTCTTGCTAATCTTTCACTTCCTATACTTGTAATTAGAAGGATGTTGATATTGTATACAAATATACCACTTCAATAACACGTCTTGTATGTGTTTAGACATACATTTAGCAGCATCTACGTGACATATGTTGGCTCAATTCATCAATAGTTTGCATGCTCGATTCATACGTCTTTTTTTTATATGTATTCTTTTAAATTTGTTTGAGTTAAATAGAAGGCGGTGAACGTAATTGACTTTTTCAAGTGCCCACGTAATTTGGTTTTCTAGGCAAGTCAAGTTGAAAGGTATGTGTATGCATGATAAGGACAAGCACATTGAGTACGTCATGTCATTTATGAGGTCTTAGCTGCTCTAACTTGCAGTCACCATGTATGGAAAATAATGGATACACCACCAGAAATGTTGCTCACTTATTTGCAAGCCAAAAATCTTTTCACATGGAAATAATTTATATACTTTAATTTCCGAAAAGCTGGAGCTATATAAGGCGTGCAAGAATGTACCATTTCCCAACAAGGATAGCCATTGCTGACAAAGCAAGGAGATATACATTTCCAAATATAGAGCTCCATGACACTGATATGTGTTTTGATTCAGAAATTACTTGGCTCCTTCCGCGAACGAAACCCTAGCAGTTTCTGAGTGACGGTTCGTGCTATAAATACGAAAGAAATATCCAGTAAGGAAACCTAAGTAGCTAGGAAACTTAAAACCACAGTAGCTAGGTTTAGAGAGCTATAAGAGAAAATTATGAGTTCTTTGGAGGGTTTTCTGTGCTTCTTCATTCTCTCAGTTCTCATCAGCATCCTTCACAAACTATGGTGGAAGCCGGCTCGCATGCAGAAACTGATGGCTTCGCAGGGAATCAAAGGCCCTTCTTATAAACTCGTTTATGGAAACACGAAAGAAATATCCAGCATGAAAAAGGAAACAATGAGCAGTCCCAAGAGTTTGTCACATGACATATTATCTCATGTTCTACCTCATTTTCACTGGTGGACGAACGTATATGGTAACCAAAATCTTAACTCTTAACTTCATTCATTAATTATCTTATCGTTCTTAGTTAAATTTATTTAGTTCCGAATATTTAATGTTGGTCATTTCTTTGCACACAACAGGGAAGTATTTTCTTCAGTGGCATGGTTCTCAACCTCAGTTGGTGATTAGAGATCCTGAATTGTGCAAGGAAATACTCCAAAACAAAGATAGAGCTTATCCAAAATTAAAGATCAAAGACTATCCCAAGAAACTAGTTGGAGATAGCGTTCTGACAACACCCGAGTATGAAAAATGGACAAAATTGCGAAAGCTCGCAAACCATGCCTTCCATGGAGAGAATTTAAAAGTAAGCTATTATTCCCTACAATTTGTGGAAACTCTGATATAATTTTTTGAATTGTGTGTGTGTATATATATATATATATATATATTTTTTTTACTAGGGTATGCTTCCAGCAATGGTAGCTAGTGCCGAGTCGATGCTAGAAAGGTGGAAAAACTATGAAGGCAAAGAAATTGAGGTGTTTGAAGAATTTAAGTTGATGACTTCAGAAGTGATTTCCAAAACAGCTTTTGGCAGCAGCTACTTAGAAGGAAAGCTCATTTTTGAGTTGTTAATGAAGCTATGCTTCTTCGCATTCAAGAACTTTTATACAGTCAGGTTTCCCGGTATGAGGTAAATAATATACTCCTTTATCAGGTATCCAATATACTCTGTTCCCTAATCATTATATGTTTGGTCTAATTTTTTTTTTTTTTTTTAACAAACGATATTATTTATACTAAGGGGGAGGGGTTAGGCTTAACCTCACAATAAGCTAGCAATAATTTGGTTCAAATTCACCTTTAGCGAGAGTCGAATCTAAGACCTCTCACTTAAGTACCACTAGACCGTCTAATTAATTTCACTCAAATATTACAGTAAGTTTTATAAAACCAGTGATGAAAGAGAAGCGGAGAAAATTGAGAAAGCACTGCACAACTCGGTAATGGAGATTATTAAGAAACGAGAAGAGAAGGCAATATTAAGGAACGGAGAAGAAGACAGGTTCGGGAGTGATTATCTTGGACTACTTTTGAAGGCTCATCATGATGCCGATGACAAGCAGAGGATATCGGTGGAAGATTTAATCAACGAGTGCAAGGCGTTTTACTTTGCTGGACAAGAAACCACTACTGTTTTGCTTGCTTGGACTGTCTTGCTTCTGGCTATCCATGCGGATTGGCAAGAGAAAGCAAGAAAGGAGGTCTTACAAATCTTTGGAGAACGAACACCGAACGCTGATGGCATTTCGAAACTAAAAACAGTAAGAAATTAAGAATTAACTAATGTTACACAATTTTTAGTTTCTTTTTTAATTGTCACAATATAATTTTATTTTTTCATGCATGCAGATGAGTATGATCCTCAACGAGTCTCTAAGGTTATATCCTCCCGTTGTTTCTATTTCAAGGACAGTTAAAAAGGAAGCTAGGTTGGGAAAGTTCATGGTTCCTGTCAATTTAGAGTTGGTTATTCCGATTCTAGCACTTCACCATGAGCCCGAATTCTGGGGACCTGACGCGCAACTTTTTAAACCAGATCGATTCTCAGACGGGGTTGCTAAAGCTACCAACAATAATATGGGTGCATTCATGCCCTTCGGAATTGGACCTCGAACTTGTGCAGGCATAAACTTTGTAGCCAACGAAGCGAAGGTTGCACTGTCGATGATTTTACAGCGGTACAGCTTCAGTCTCTCCCCTGCTTACATCCACTCGCCTTTTCAGCTTCTTACGCTTCGTCCGCGACATGGAGTTCAAGTAATTCTACATCCTCTTATGGACTGCCCATAAACTTTTCCTGAACTTGGTGAATGGAGTACCGACTGCCGAGTACACAGATTTTAGTGTCTTCGATAAATATTCCAGCAATATATATGTATATTATAAAACGGGTATGAACTTAATAGATCCGATTGTTTGTGATGAACATGATCTAATGAGATGATAATGGAGAAATGGTCGGGTTTTTTTCCACTTTCATTCAACTTGGGGATTGATGAAGGGTGATATTATTCACACAAATGTTTTTACCTATTGTACACATTCTATTAATTTAGTTGATGTGGACAACACAAAAGGGGTGACGTGGATCAAGTGTGGTCATTAGGTTTCACATGTGAGCCAACCTACTCTGATACTATAAATAAAGTTGAGGTTCCTCCATAAAACCAATTGGCAATATAGGGAGTAGTCCAACCTTTTATAAGTCCATGCAAGGTCCTTCCTCTCATCAATGTGGGATTCATTTTCAGCACGCCCCCTCATGTGTGGCGAATTTTCAAGTCTAACACGTTTGAAGTCAAATGGCCACAAGCGCTCCACGTCACCTGTTATGTTGTCCACGTATTAGGCTTGAAAATTCGTCACATATGAGGGAGCGTGTTGAGAATGAGTCTCACATTGATGGGAGAAAGGACATTGCATAAGCTTATAAAAGTTTGAGCTACTCTCTATATTCCCAATTGATTTTGCCAATTGGTGTTATAGCAACTTTCTTCATGGTATCAGAGCAGGTTGTCTCACGTGTGAAGCCTAACGACCACACATGCTCCACTCTGTTGTGTTGTCCACATGTTAGGCTTGAAAATTTGCCACACGTGTTATTGAGAATGAATCTCACACTGATAAGAGGATAAACCTTGCATAGGCTTATAAGAGGTTGGGTTACTCTTCATATTGTCAATTGGTTTTATGGTGGAACCTCAACTTTCTTCATTTTTGATTATTTTCAATTTATTCAATTTGAACAATCGAAAATTGAGAGATGCGCGTGAAAAAAAGAAAGGAAAAGAGTGTGAATAGCACGATGAAACTGAATGAAATTATGGATGAAAATTGAATGTATGTGGCATGTTAAGTCTAGGGGATTAATTGTAATCTTTATTTTATTTTGTCTGAGTGGTAAATGCACAAAAGTGCAAAAAGAGAAATGCATGTGGAATTGTTGTCATCGTTAATTGATACAACTGAAAAGAGAAATGAACTACAAGGCCCATATCCCAGGCTACACAGGCCTAGAAAACAAGAATATCCAGGCTCAAAAAGCATAAAGAAAGCTATGTCTGGCAATTGCCTTCTTTAGTTTGTCTTGTTTATTAATTTGAAAGATCAGCCTTACTGAAAGGGAAGTAGATGTACAAGAAAGTGAGGTAGCCACAATCTAAGCTTTAACTTCATACACTTAGAAGCACGAAATTGATGATGTTGATATTGTGTACAAATATACCACTTCAACATAAAAGAAGTAATCCCATATATACTACTAATTAAGTATGCAATTAAATAACACGCTTTACACGTGTTTAGACCTAGAATTAGCCGTTTCAACGTGAAATTTATAGGCTGGGTTCATCAATAGTTTGTTTTCCCAATTCATACGTCTTTTTCCATATATATTCTTTCAAATTTGTCTGAGTTTAACAGAAGAAGACAAACGTAGTTTACTTTTTTAGACGGCCATGTGCTGCTGTGGAGATTTGATAAGGAAACACACATTGAGTAACTTGAATATATGGCTTTGTCATTTTTTTTTGAGACTTTAGCTGCTCTAAATTGCAATCTCCATGCCCGAAATTGCTCGCTATTTTGCAAGGCCAAAATACCTTTTTTTACATGGGGGCTAAGCTTTGCCCGATATTTGACTGCTTTGGACTGGATTCCATGTACAAATTCTGGCAAAAAGGCCCAGTAGCATTTACCAAAGGCGGGCCGAATTGGACACGCGACCGGTAAAGAGCTGACATTGTAGGAAATTTTTTTTTTTTTTTTAATTAAACATTTTTGCTAGAAGAACTTTTATAAATATGTTGGAAATTTAGCAAAAAAATCCAAGAAATTCTTCAAGAATAAGCATTTCTGGTTATAAGTTCTTATTGTTTTTCTTGAAGAATTTTTTTTTTAATTTTATTATTATTAATGTTCGAAATTATTATAATAATTTAGAGGCAAGGAAGTTTCAAACTCATGACGCATGAGTGTAAACCTTACACTCTATCCAAAAAGATATTAGACCACATGCAAGATTTCTTGAGGAATGAATGGTATGAGAATTTAGAAAATGAATTCATGAGAATTTGAGGAGGGGATGAAGATTGTCATGGCTCTATAATATCGCTACAATTCGGGAGTGCAATCAAACCATGGGAAAAGCTCCACTAGGGTAAGCACAGCAATCACTTGGTAGACAAAAAACTCAAGAGAAATGCTAAGGAAACTCTTTTAAAAGTTAGACTCTTCATACGCTTTCTGTCACTTTATAGTTTAACGTTAATCTCCTTGTACTAATATTCCAAATCATTGTGTCAAAAAAATAAGATGGCAAGAGAATCTATGAAAAATTTCAATTTCAAGAGAGTTTCTTTAACATTTCTCAAAACTCAAAGAACACGAAGACAAGTCTCAGCATGTTGGAAACTTGGCAGATGAACACAAGAAGACAAGTCTGTGCATGTAGAGAACGTGTTTGAGTGCTCGTAACTCATAGTTCATAAACCTTCATCACGTGTACACACACACACACACACACACACACACATTTATCTAATCATCTGTTTTATATAATTTTCAGTTCCATTTACTAGCCAGATGAACCCCAGCCTTCAAGAAATTTTGATGATGACTACTATTTCAGGCCTTCTGTGTCTGGTCCTTCTGGTTCTCTTAGCTCTCGTCAAAATCTTTCACAAACTATGGTGGACTCCGACTCGGATACAGAAATTCATGGCTCTGCAGGGAATCAAAGGCCCTCCTTACAGACTCGTCCATGGAAACACCAAAGAAATCTTGAGAATGCAGAAACAAAACTTGGGCAGCCCCAAAAAGTTGTCGCACGATATATTATGTGCGGTCCAGCCTCATGTTCACACATGGAGCAATATATACGGTCAGTGGTGTATCTAAAACCTTTTTCTTTAATATATTTTTATAAATGATAAATTAGGTTCACATCCTTCATTTTTCATTCACATTAATTAAAATCTTATTTATTTTTCATTTTTAATTCAGATCCCTTGACTTTTCGTCATGTCATTATTTGAATATTAAATTATTTACAAGTCATTATACGTCAATTTAAAAATGAACAATTATTAATCATTTTCAAATATAATCTTTTTAGTATTTTTTTTCCATATATTTCTATTTATAATTTGTATCCTTTTTTTAATTTATACCAATATTTTTAGTTTTAAAATATACCCATAATTTTGAATTTTAATATGTATCCATATTTTCAATCTAATTTGTACCCATAGTTTTGAATTTTAATGTGTACCTATATTTTTAATTTAATTTGTACCAATATTTTTTTTATAAACGTACCCATGCTAATTGACACACCCCGACCGGAATCTAGGCATGCTTGCCGTCACATGAGGGTGACGTAGCCAAGTGCTCAGCAGAAGTGATAGTAATAAGAAAATGTGAATAAATAAAAAAACCAAAGCTAAACTTATTTAACTAGAGATAATATATAAGTGTGCGAAAGTGATCAAGTATATGATACACACATATTAGAGTATAGGTAACATGAAAGTGCAATTGAACTAACTAAAAACTAATTATACAAACCAGGAGAGGATCCCTACAATATTTAATGGAACGTCAGAACCGCCGTGTAGTCCTCGTGAGCCACCAAAGATGAACAGCTACCTAGCACCTGGAGGGGCGTAAAACAGAAGGGTGAGTGGGCAAAAACAAGGCGTTTGAAAATGTATTTATCTTTATGAATATAATAACCCCTCTCCCTAAAATCCGTATAGTTTCCAGAAAATACTACTATGTAGGTATGAAAACCAATGCACAAGACTAGTGAAAACTGATGTGACATCCCACATCGTCCAGGGGAGTGATCCTTATATGTATATTCCCATCCCTACCTAGCACGATGCCTTTTGGGAGCTCACTGGCTTCGGGTTCCATTGGAACTCCGAAGTCAAGAGAGAAGGGAGCTAGAGCACTCCCAGGATGGGTAACCTATCGGGAAGTTCTCGTGTGAGTTCCCAGAAACAAAACTGTGAGGGCGTGGTCGGGGCCCAAAGCGGATAATATCGTGCTACAGTGGTGGAGCGGGCCTGGGAAGCGATCCGCCCCGGGCCGGGATGTGACAATTGAGATATGCAATGTCATAATATTTCAGCACTAAAAGATGTAAACCAGATGTGCAACTAATATAAAATAGTATGCCAGTTGGAGTCACCTTGCGTGACCTATACGACTGGATTTATAGCTCATCAATCTAGGCTAGCACATGAGTCGGAGTCACCTAGTATGACCTGTACGACAGTCTGGGTATAAATATGTACGCTTAAATGCTATGTTCACGTGAAGGTTGTGCGATAAATCACGGGTCACCTATGAGTCAGAACCACCTATTGTGGTATGTACGATAGGCTGGCACCAGACTTAGATCCAAGGTGAGCATGCAGTGCGGGAGGTGAACAATCACGTAAAGGCTGGCCCTGGCCCCTAGCGAGAGCACTAATACCCAGGTGCAACCATGATGAGCTCTAAATAAATGTATGCATACCAATGCAATACAACCCATTCAATCACATAATACTCACCAAAATCTTACATGAGTCACCTCAGCATCACACAATACAATTCACAAGTGTAACAATGCAATATTTAAAATGTAACTTATTTACGACATGGTAAGTAAAACATAATTCCATATAAAAACATTTCTGGAAACCGTATATGTGTCTATATATATAACAAATGCCCACTCACTAAGGAGTAGCAGGATTGTAGCCCTCTAGCTTTGCTTGTCCATGCTCGTCCTCAGGGTATGTCTCACCTATATGCGATACAACTATTTTTATGTTACTTAATTAGCACATATACGAAATCCAGAAATAACTCCTCATAGTTTGCTCAAATATAAGGTTTGAATATATGAATGTGATATACTCGATGATACGAACCCACATAAATTTTTAGAAAAATTTTTGAACACCGGACGTGCCCTCACACGCCAGCCACACGCAGGCACATGCACGGCCCACTGACGGAAACCCTAACGGTTTTAGGAATATTCTGTCAAAATAGGCGGAACATTCCGTTACATAGTAACGACGTTACCTAACGCCATTAGAGTATTCCGTTAAAGTTAACGAAATATACCTTCTTCTTCTCCAGTCACCCGTCGGTCTCCGCCATCCACCACCATCTACACTTGCCAGTTTCTGAAAAATTTTCAAAGCTTTATATCTACTTCATTTCTTAACCAAAATCCATGAAATTTATATGGATTTGAAGCTCTCGAAGAGTAGAACACGTTCGTACCTATTGGAAGTCCAAAATCCAACGAAAAGCGATCAGAAAACTTCTTGGAAAGTCCGGCCAACTCTGTAACTTTTCGAACTCACCTATTCCGACATCCACTCCACTCCAAATATACTCTAAAGTGCTAGGGAAGTTGCATAGAGACCATCCCAAGCCTCAAAAATTTGTAAATCGTCTGTGATCGTGCCGAAGAAACCTAGCTCCTCGTTAGAGCTTTTGGTTTCCGAGCTAAAACTCACCAAAACGGAAAACTAAGGGTATGGTGGTAATCGTGAAGTCGAGATCAGAAGAATGGTGATGGTTTCCAAAAGTTTGATCCATGTAAGTTTGATGATGGTTGTGTGTGAGATGTCACGGGTGTACGAAGGGAGAAGAGTCGAGAAGGAGAAAGAAAGGGAAAAGTGTATGCGTATGTGCGTACGTGATTGGGAAGAAGAAGAAAATTATATTTTCTGCTGCCGTGAGAGAGAGAGAAAGAGTTATATGTGTAATTGGCCCAAAGAAAAATAAAAATAAACTACCTGGTTGGGCCAAGGGAAAAACCCATCTAATTAGTTCAAAAATTACCCGTTGCACAATTAAATAATCGTAACTTTTTCGTTACGACTCCATTTCGGTTCTAACTCGCTTCAACACACTCATGACGTTGAGTAGGATTTAATTACGACAGCGAGAAAGATAATTTAAATATGCATACATACATCCATGTCACTTGGCCAACGAGGGCATATTTGTCATTTTACACACTAGGGGAGAAAATTACATAATAAATTGGGACGGGTCGCCACACTAATTATATGTGTTTATTTTATATTTGAAAATATATCAATATTTTCATAATTTGTGGGATATTGAATGCATAAATGGATGAGTTAAATCTCTTGAATGATGCTAGGGACCTTGATCAAACTATTTAAACATATAAAGTTTCATTCTAACAACTAGGTTGATTAGGAACCGAAGCCAAAATGACATTTTTTTAAGTTTAGTTTGAAGGTAAATTTTGGTAATTTTTGCATGGAATTGCAGGGAAGATTTATCTTCAATGGCATAATTCTCAAGCTCAGTTGGTAATTATGGAACCCGAGTTGTGCAAAGAGATACTCAATAACAAAGACAGAGCTTATCCGAAAAAAGAGTTCGGTAACTTTGAGAAGAAGATAGTAGGAGATGGCATGGCGACCGCATTAAATGTTGCGAAATGGATGAAGTTGCGAAAGATCGCAAACCATGCCTTCCATGGAGAGAGCTTGAAAGTAAGTTCTTCCTCATTAAGCTACTTTCTGGTAATAATAATATATTGTTGTGGTATTGTTGTTTTAATAAAAGGAAAAAACTACGACGGATGGACAAGATGGTATCCTCTCGTGTCATATTTTCGTGTCAATCGTATTTTCATGTAGTTACCCAATAATTCTTCTTCTTAATTTAACGTATTCTTGTGTCATATCGTATCCTCATGTCCGTGTCTATGCATCATAGGGAAAAAAAATAAGAAAGAGTAAATTGCAAGGAAAATCTGCTGACAACATGATGGGATGTTTTGTTTTGGGATAGGTTAGTTGTGGTCCTGACCCTAACTATTATATACTCAAACCTTATGCATTTTAGATTTTAGATTGAAGTCTCTCTCCTGCCACACAGATGACATGATAACAAAAGAGATGCAATAATACCAATAAAGACTCAAACCGTTATTTTGCTTTCATTTACGCTACCAATTTAATTATTGAAATTTGCTTATGGGTTTCTAACAAAAAAAAAAAAATTGCTTATGGGTGCATTCTAGATTATAAAATATATATATATTTATATATATATATATATCATTTTTTAAATATTTTCTATTAAATATGAGTACATTTATATAATAAATTTTGGGTACATCTTAATATAAAATATTGGTACATTTATATAAAAATGTGGGTAGATTTCACATACAAAAAATTGGCACATTTTATATAAATTAAAGGGTATATTTTATATAAAAAAAAACAATGGGTACATTTTATATAAAAACAAACAATGGTATATTTTTGGATTAAAAAAATAAATAGATTTTACACTAAAAAATGAGTACATTTTACATAAAAAAAAAGGTACTTACAAAACAAAAAATTAGTACATTTTGCATATAACAAAGTGGTATATTTTTAAAGAAAAATGGGTACATTATGAATAAAGTACTGGAACAAATAAAAGTTTAAAAAATATGGGGTCAAAAAGAAATTAATATATGGTACAAATTAAAACTAAAAAGAAAATTGGTACAATTTAAAAAAAAAAAAAAAAAAAAAGGTTGCAAATTAAAAATAGGTACAAACTAAAAATAGAAATATATGATATAACATTTGGCCATAAATATAAATATACCAAATGTAACGTTTCTAACATTCAATGAATATATTTAGAAATAAAATTTAATTATCTTGTCATGTAAATATTTTATTATTAAAATAATCAATGACGTTTATTAAAATCTAAGGATCTTGATTAAAAATTGAAAAGGAATAAGGTTTTAATCAGTAGAGTAGAAAAAAGAGGGATGGGAACCTAATTTCTCCTTCTGTTTTTCTAGAGTATGATTCCAACCATGGTCGCTTGTACTGAGACCATGTTAGAAAGGTGGAAAAATCATGAGGGCAAAGAGATTGAGGTGTTCGAAGAACTTAGGTTGTTTACTTCAGAAGTGATTGCAAAAACAGCATTTGGAAGCAACCATGGTGAAGGACAAAACATTTTTGAGATGTTGATGAAGTTGTTTTTCATAGCATTGAAAAACATTTTCACAATCCGGCCTCCCGGTATGATGAGGTAACCTATCTTCCTTTCAAGTGGGTAGCCATTATTTATATCTTAATCACTTATCATGTATGGTGTTTCACTGAACAATGCAGTAAATTGTATAAAACAAGTGATGAGGCTGAAGCAGAGAGAATTGAGAAAAGAATGCACAAGTCCCTATTTGAGATTATTAAGAGAAGAGAAGAAAAGGCAACGTCGGGAAACAATGACGGCTTTGGAAGTGATTATCTTGGATTACTTTTGAAGGCTCATCATGATGCCAATGAGAAGGAGAGGATATCCGTGGATGATATGATCGACGAGTGCAAGACGTTTTACTTTGCTGGACAAGAAACCACTAATATTGAGCTTGCTTGGATTGTCTTCCTTCTGGCAGTCCACACTGATTGGCAAGAGGAAGCAAGAAAGGAGGTTCTTGAATTATTTGGTAAACAAAATCCGAGTCCTGAGGGCGTTGCCAAACTAAAAACAGTAAGAAAGTAAATCAAATAAGTGCTTCTAAGTTTGGAATCCGAATTTAATTTTCGTGTGTTGTCTAATTAGTTTTTCTTTTCATTGCATTCAGATGAGTATGATCATCAACGAGTCTCTAAGGCTATATCCTCCTGCTGTTTCCATTGAGAGGAAAGTTGATAGGGAGGTTAGATTGGGAAATTTCATTATTCCTGCTAATGTTGAACTGGTCATCCCAATTCTAGCAATCCACCATGAGCCTGAATTTTGGGGGCAAGACGCGCAACTGTTCAAACCCGAACGCTTCGCGCGAGGAGTTGCTAAAGCTACTAACAATAACATAGCCACATACATACCCTTTGGAATGGGACCTCGGACTTGTGTGGGTATGGATTTTGCAATCATTGAAGTGAAGATTGCTCTGTCAATGATTTTACAACGCTACAGCTTCACTCTTTCCCCTGCATATGTCCACTCGCACGTTCGGTTCATACTTCGCCCACAACATGGAGTTCAAATCATTCTACACCCTCTTGTGAACTGCCCATAAACCCTGCAGTTAGTGTATCCATATATTCGAGACATTTATGCCTTAATTTTCAATTAAAAACGACGCATCATCTGGTATAAGATGTAATTCTATGTAAAATCATGTCTTAGAGATGGCATAAAGAATTATGAGACGAAGGGAACCATCTGTTATACTATTTATTTTTAACAATAACAAAAGAACATAAAAATAAAAATAAAAAGAATAAAATGGGTTTCCTTCACAAGATATGGTGGACTCCGACTTGCATACGGAAGTTGATGGCTTTGCAGGGGATCAGACGCCCTTCCTACGTACTCAACCATGGAAATGCCAATGAAATTTCCAACATGGCGAAGGAAGTGATGAGCAGGCCGAAAAATTTATCGAACGGACATACCTCTGTACTTGAACCTCATATTCACGGATGGACCAAGATATATTGTATTTTTGAAGTAGCATAAATGTTATTAATTTAAGTACGAAAAGGATGACTTCTATTCGGTTTTTCATTTTGATGCAGATGAGCACGATCATCAACGAGTCTCCAAAGTTATATCCTCCCGCGGTTTCCCTTAGGAGGAATGCTGGAAGGGAAGTTAAACTGGGAAAGCTCATCATTGCGGCTAATATTGATCTCATCTCATCATCCCATGTTTAGCACTTCACCTTGAGCCTGAATTTTGGGGACAAGATGTGCACTTTTTCAAACCAGAACGATTCTCACACGGGATTGCTAAAGCTACTAACACTAATATAGCCACATTATTACCCTTTGAGATGGGACCGCAGAGTTGTGTGGGCTTGAACTTTGCAAAAAATGAAGTAGAGATTGTTTTGCGGATGATTCTACAGTGCTACGCTTTCACCCTCTCCCCGACCTATGTCCTCGCCCTTTCGACAGCAAAAAGTTCTGCGACATGGTAGCTTCTTATTTATACAGAAGCGTCAGTAATCTTGCATTTGGTACCGATTACCAACCTAATGCCTTCGGAAATGGTAGCTTCTTATATATACAGATTGCAATTTCTGCTGTGAGAAATGTTAAGGTGATTCTTTTAGCCGATAACTTTAAAAAATAAACAGCTGCGATTTAATATGTGTAGAAATTTAGTTTTAAGTTTCTGGTATATTTGTTGCCTTGTGTGAATGTACAATGACACATATAAAGCAAAAGAGGACTGGTTACAACCATCCTTCCTTTAGACTAAACACAAAAGACCGGATAAAGCTATACCCTAACAAGTACTCCTTAATTTAAGGGATTACATCAAACACAAGGGTAAATTATCTGTCTTTCTATTTGGATGTCATTTTTATCCCTTTCTATTTATACTATCAAGATTAAATTATACTAATATTTTATATTTTTATTATTTTTTATCTTATTATTTTTTAAAAATTTACTATAAAATATTAATATAATTTAATCGTAATCACATAAAATAAAAAGAAATAAAAATAACATCCAAATAAGAGTGCAGAAAATCTACCTTCCCAACACAATGCTAGGAAGTGATCTGCACATTAATGGTGAGCAGCCAAAGTTGACAAAAAGGTGCCATGATGTTGACACAAACGGTGCCGAGCAGCCAAAGTTGACAAAAGGTGCCATGATTTCTGATTTCATATCTGTCTAGGATTTGTAACTCTAATAATATGTTTTGAACGGAGAGAAATGCTAAGGTAATTTAAAAGTGAGATTTGCTATGAATTATCTGTCACTTTATTTTTTTTTATAATATTTTATAATGTTGGAACGAGGATTAACGTAAAATTATAAGGTTACAAAGAATCCGTAAAGAATTTTACTTTAATAAAGTCTATATAGCATTTATCTTTGAACTGATTAACGAGTGCTACTCTGATTTTCATTAAGTCACCATGATGATTAGGTAAAGTGGTCAGTAATGACGGCTGGTTTATGATATAATGGATTTGGATCCTCTCTTGAGCCCAAGGAGAGGATCCTCGTGACTAAGGATTGTGGACCGTTGAATTTTTATACAACGGTTATAAACAGAAGATCCTTTTAAAGTTATAATAAGTATAATCGTCTATTTGAAATTTAATCTAGTATTAGAGCCAAGAGACAGGCCCGTACATCCACGTGAACAGATGGATCCCTCTTGACCCCGCGTGAATAGGTGAGCCCCGACTTGGTTCCATGTAAGCCAAGAGGCAAGAGATGCCACGTGAATGGGTGAGTTCCCATTGGCCCCGTGCGAACGGGTGAGTCTCAGCTTGGCTCTACATGGTTGCAGATGTGTGGAACTTCACGTGTGACCCATAAAATGGGACCTCACGTGCAAGGAAGTGTTAGAATTCCTCTGTCCCACATCGGCCAGAAGGCTTGAGAACAAGCCCTTTAAATAGAATTACCCCACTCTAACTAATATCGAGATCTTTTGTATTTAAACCCCATACCTGATGGATTGAGCATGTGATCAAATAAGGACAGCATCGATGTTGTTAGAGTGAACCCATGACCTATCTACCTAAAATTTAACAAGTACCACATGTATCCAATTTAATAATTATATTAAGAGGACTGAGCAAAATACTTAAATGGTGGAGTGTGTCGAAAAGCTCAGAATGTAGGTTCAGAAATAAGACTAATCATGACTTGGTTTGGAGATCCAGACGTCATTCTTTCAATCTCTCTGTGTCTGTTGTTGCTTCTCTTGGTTCTCATCAAGGTGTTTTACAAACTATGGTGGATTCCGATTCGAGTTCAGAATCGGATGACCTCGCAGGGAATCAAAGGCCCGTCTTACAGATTTATCCACGGAAACAACAAAGAAGTTGCCAGCATGAGAAAGGAAGCCATGAGCAGGCCCAAAAGTTTATCACATGATGTATTTTCCATTGTTCTACCTCTTATGCACTCATGGACCAAGATATATGGTAACGAACTCTTTAACTGACTTCAGTTTTCTTTTTAAATCTTGTTCCGAGATTAATTTTGGTCGTTTTCTGTAATGTTAGGGAAGAATTTTCTCTACTGGTATGGTCATCAACCTCGGTTGGTCGTTACGGAAACTGAACTGTGCAAAGAGATACTGATGAACAAAAATGGAGCTTATCAGAAAAGCAAGCTCCTAGGCGGTGTAAAGAAGCTGTTAGGAGATGGTCTCGCGACAACAAATGATGGTGAAAAATGGTCGAAACTGCGAAAGCTGGCCAACCATGCCTTCAATGGAGAGAGCTTAAAAGTAAGTTTATAACTTATAACACTTGTGTTAATTATATTTATTGAAGGGATCTGTTTATTGCATATAGCTATTGTTTCGCTAGAGTATGCATTCGGAGATGATAGCTAGTACTGAGACAATGCTAGAAAGGTGGAAAATTCATGAAGGCGAGGAGGTTGAGGTGTTTGAAGAATTTCGGTTGTTAACTTCAGAAGTGATTTCTAGGACAGCTTTTGGTAGCAGCTACGTAGAAGGGAAGAACATTTTTGACATGTTATTGAAGTCATCTGCCTTAACATTTTCAAGTTCATTCAAACCCGGGTTTCCTGGCATCAGGTGACTTCCTTTTACCGGGACCTCAATCCTCTTTACTAGTGAAAATAAAAAATATTTCCTGGCATTGGGTAACGTTTAGTAAATCAATATTGCAGTAAGTTTGTTAAAAGCAGCAGTGAGATTGAATTTCAGAAGCTTGAGAAAGGAATAAGGGACTCCCTAATGGAGATTGTTAGAAGAAGAGAAAGGAACCCAATAAATCGAGAAGCAAACAAATTTGGGAGTGATTTCCTTGGACAACTTTTAAGGGCTCATCACGATACCAATGACAATCAAAGGATTTCAATGGAAGATTTGGTTGACGAGTGCAAAACATTTTACTTGGCTGGACACGAAAGTACTGGCACAATGCTAGCTTGGACAGTCTTTCTTTTGGCACTCCATCCGGAATGGCAGGAGAAAGCAAGAAAGGAGGTCCAGCAATTTTTCGGCAAACGAACTCCAGATCCCAATGGCATTTCCAATCTCAAAACTGTAAGAAAGTCAAGAATTCAATGAATTGCTTTTCTAAGTGCAGAAATGCTTAATTTAAGTTTCAAATCCTGATTTCTTCATTTTCATGAGTGCAGATGACTATGATCGTGAACGAGTCTCTGAGGTTATATCCTCCTGTTCTTTCCGTTGTCAATAGGAAAGTTGACAAGGAAACTAGGCTGGGAAGGCTTGTTCTTCCTGCTAAACTCCACTTGGTGATCCCAATTTCACCACTTCACTATGATCCTCAGCTGTGGGGACAGGACGTGCAGCTTTTCAAACCAGAGCGGTTCTCAGAAGGAGTTGCTAAAGCTACTAATGATAACATCGCCGCATTCTTACCCTTTGGAATGGGACCTCGAGTTTGTGCAGGCTCAAACTTTGCCACCACTGAAGCAAAGATTGCCCTTTCAATGATTCTACAACGCTACACATTCACTCTTTCCCCAACCTATACTCACTCGCCCTCTGCATTCCTTACAGTCCGTCCACAACATGGAGTTCAAATAATGCTACACGCACTGTGAACTGTGAAGACCATATTAGTTCCTGTTCTTGCAGTTCTGCAGTGTTTTTTATTTTCTCTCATACGCGAAGACTACATTATGAAATGCTTAGTAGTTAAGTTGAATAACAGTGTCATTGGTTTCAGCAATCTTCTACTCACTATACCCAGCTGTTTTATCTGTAGAGTAGGAATGGTTCAAGAAACAGGATGCCATTTTCTGTACAATAAATCGTACCATCTACTGTGTCTTTCTCCAATCTAATTGCAGACGTGAGCAACCATAGAATATTTAACAAATTAGCCAATCTGCGTGGTGATCATTTCCCTTTGGAAGCTAATACAATCTGGATAATGTGGATATCCATGGACAAGAGTCGCATCTTGAACGTGTCACGATCGTTTACCAAAAATCTCCCACTTGATCAATAATAAATAAGCAGCAGGAAAACTTCACTTGGGGAGGGAGTCAGTAGGTTGGGAGGTACAGCAAAAAAGAAGCAAAAGGTAACGAAAATGAGTTGGAGAATGGAAAATGAGTTGGTTCATACCCTTTGGAATGTGACCTCGAACTTATGTGGGCATGAACTTCGCACTTATTGAAGCAAAGATTGCTCTGTCAATGATTCTGCAGCGCTACCATTTCACCCTTTCCCCGGGTTACGTACACTCACCCATTCAGTTTCTGACAGTTCGCCCACAACATGGAGTTCCAGTGATACTACGCCCACTGTGAACAGTGAAAACCAGAGCTTCCAATAAAGTTGCATTAGTATGAGAACCTATTTAAGTTGATTCCATTCATGTATTCATTTATTTTTACTACATGCTGTATTCGTTTTATTTACCGTGTGAATTGTTATAAATTTATCTTTGTACAATTTTCTCTCCCCTTTTGATATTGTTTTCAGTTTTTGTATATCATTTCCACGGCATGAAGGATTGTGCTTATGTTCATTACAAAGTTGTCCAAGAGATGCAGCGCAACCATGGTTTTGTTTGGAAATTTTTGTAGCCTACTGTAGTGACAGATACGGAGTCTTCTTTGTGAAATATGTAACATTTTTATAATAGCCGAACCAAATCGAAACCTAACGGCACAACTAAATCAAAAAAGTCAAGTGAAAAATACCAAAGACAAAAGTTACGCCAAACAAAGCAAGATAAACACAACCAAGTCCTATTTGGCATCTCCGGCCGGCCTGCAGTGAGAACATGTGGCAGTACCTGAAAATGGCATCTCAATGGCAGCGAAGCCAGGAAAAAGGATATATGATTTTAACTTTGTTGCCGAAAAGAAACATCCAAGAAGAACATAAGATATGATTTTTTAACTTTGTTATCCATGATTCGAGAAAGTATGAGTTCAAAGCTACAACCGGAGAGAAAAACTTAACGAAAAATGAGTTGTTTGGGTCCAGTAGTCATTTTTTCTAGCATTCTGTTTCTGTCCATTCTCTTAGCTCTCATCAAGGCCTTTCACAAACTATGGTGGACTCCAACTCGGATACTTCGTATGGCTTTTCAGGGAATCAAGGGTCCTTCTTACAGACTTTTCCATGGAAACACCAAAGAAATCATGAGCATGAAAATGGAAACTATGGGCAGGCCCGGAGACTTATCTGTGAACGTATTTTCTGCAGTTCAACCTCATACTCACACATGGACCAAGATATATGGTATTCACAAGCTCTTCATTGACTATGTTTTCTGAATCTTTTTCTTAACACACTTTCTAAATCGTTTAGTTGCAAACTAAATTTGGTCATCTCTATAATCGATTGCAGGGAAGATTTATCTTCAATGGCATGGTTCTCAAGCTCAGTTGGTCGTTATGGAACCTGAGTTGTGCAAAGAGATACTAAATAACAAAGATGGAATTTATCCAAAAAGGAAGCTCCAAGGCTTTGTCAAGAAGCTAGTAGGAGATAGCATGGGGACAAGTACAACTGAGGGGGGAAAATAGCGGAAACTTAAAAAGCTGGCCAACCATGCCTTTCATGGAGAAAGCTTAAAAGTAAGTTTGTCGTATCTCGAAGAGTTATATAGTTGATGTGGTGTCATAAATTGAAGACAAATTTTGTAATAGAAAGATGGTATCTTTTTACTAGAGTATCATCCCAGCAATGATAGCTAGTGCCGAGATGATGTTAGAAGAGTGGAAAAATCATGAAGGAAAAGAGATTGAAGTTTATGAACAATTTAGGTTGTTCACTTCGGAAGTGATTTCCAGGACGGCATTTGGCAGCAGTTACATAGAAGGAAAGAACTTTTTTGACAATTTGATGAAGTTATCATCTTTATTAGTCAAAAATTCTTTAACAGTCAGGTTTCCAGGCATCAGGTTTTCATCTTATCTATGTTTGTAGTCTCACTCAATATTGCGTATTCTGTTGTCACTTCTTATGTATGCATAGTCACACTAAACGTCTTGCAGTAAAATTTTTAAAACGGGAGATGAGATTGAGTCAGAGAAGCTTGACAAAGCAATGCACGACTCCATAACAGAGATTATTAAGAAAAGAGAAAAGAAGGCAATGGCGGGCGAAGAAAACTTTGGGAGTGATTATCTTGGATTACTTGTAAAGGCTCATCTAGATACCAATGATAGCCAGAAGATTTCGGTGGATGATTTGGTTAATGAGTGCAAGACGTTTTACTTTGCCGGACAAGAAACCACTAATGGTGTGCTTGCTTGGATTGTCTTTCTCCTGGCACTTCATACAGATTGGCAAGTGAAAGCAAGAAAGGAAGTCCTACAATTATTTGGAAAACAAAATCCGACTCACGATGACATTGCCAAGCTAAAAACAGTAAGAAACTCAACAACTCACCCTATATACCGCTTGTCCAAGCGTTATAAATGGATTATAAAATTCTTTATTTTCATGCAGATGAGTATGATCATCAATGAGGCTCTGAGGTTATATCCTCCTGTTCTTAACATTGATAGGAGAGTTAAAAGGGAAGTTAAACTGGGAAAGTATATTGTTCCTGCTAATGTTGAATTGATCATCCCATGTCTAGCACTTCACCATGAGACTGAATTCTGGGGGCAAGATGCGCAACTTTTTAAACCAAATCGATTCTCGGAAGGTGTTGCTAAAGCTACCATTGATAATATACCCGCATTTTTACCCTTTGGAATGGGACCTCGAAGTTGTGTTGGTTTAAACTTTGCGGCCAATGAAGCAAAGACTGTTCTGTCGATGATTCTACAACGCTACCGCTTCACCCTTTCCCCGGGTTACGTCCACTCACCCTGTGATTATCTTTCAATTCGTCCACAACATGGAATTCAAGTTATTCTACACGCACTGTGAGCTATGAAGCACAGAAACTACTGCTACTCTTTTATGAGAGACAATCAGCACTTTCCATTTCTTTTTCTTGAAACTAGTGTAGTTCATGACTTTTTCTGCGAAAATTATACAACAGACTGATGTAAGTGCATTGATTGAACGCCTAATGCATTCCATACACCAGTGTATGGTAGGAAATTTTTTTATGTCCTCTTTCTTCGCATAATTATAAATTTAGTACTGCAATGAGTAAGATGTTGAATTTGGGTTGTAATTGAAATGTTCGAGTTGTGTGCGTTTTACTAGGCCACGTTACATAAATCCTTGGGCTCTTTTTAGCCATGTCTTTTTGGAGTGCATTGAGTACACTTCAATTGGATAGCTATTTTTATTAATACACCGAGAGCGCCATTTGAGAAAAAGGGAGAGAGATCTGAGAGCAATGAGAGGAGAAAACTCTGACGTTGGTGTCTCACCCTTGGTACATTTGTATTAGCTCTCTTGGATCGTCTGTGTGAGAGTGACTAGATCGGGTGTATGTGGGATTTGAGTTTCAATGAGTTAAGCTCATTTGTAATCTCTTTTGATATTGGTAACGTAGGCTAACGATGAATCAGTACAAATTCCTTGTGTCAGTTGTTATTGCTTGGATTTATCCATTTGTCATGTTTTGCCTTGCTAGATTATTGATCTCATATTTGCCGTTACCCGCCAAACAAAAGGAATAATACACACATGGCAAAAGTCTATAGGATCTTGGGAACATAATAAAAAATTACAATTTACAATTGATATCTACAAGTTAGATGGTGACTTGAAAATTAAAAATCCGTATGCATCCAAATTCATTAATAATTTTAAATTCATGGAGTAGAATATGCGACCCTTCAACATGAGCAGCAACCTTAACATGAAAGTGGACTTCTGAAAGCTCTCATTTCCGGCAGGTTCAGTAACACTGCAGGCAGAGAGAAAAAACGATACGAAAATGAGTACTTTGGAAGGCCTAGTGATCATCCTTTCAAGCTCTGTGTCTGTTCCTTGTTTTAGCTCTCATCAAGATCTTTCACAAGCTATGGTGGAATCCGACTCGCATACAGAAGCTGATAGCTTTGCAGGGAATCATGGCCCTTCATACAGATTTACTCTGGGAGAATGCTGAAGTAGAAGTTGTGGCAATTATTTATGAATGGGAAAATCCTAAATTAATGAGGACGGATTACAGAGAGTGTTGGAAACTGAAATAGAAAGTAACAAAGTTACTCGAAAAATGTAGAAGTCTTGAGTGGTGAATGATTCTTGGGATGAGTCGTGGACTAAGTCGCTCTCTTTAAGACGTTTCGCGGCTCTGCCCAAAGTGTGCAAGCAGTTCACAAATACCACGTCGTCCCCAGGATAAAACAACCCAGAACCTTCTTCTGATAAAGTTCTTCCTTGCACAGTGGAAGAACCTTCGAACTCACACCCTCTCAATATGTTGCTTATCAAAACTATATATCAAAAAATATATTTTTTTTTTGGTATACTTTCAATTATCCAGGGACTAGTATATATGACACGCCCCGACCCCGATACTCCCCGAATACCAGGATAGGCATGTGCTGGCCGACACCCGAGGGTGACGAAAGCCATTTATTGAGTGCAAATGCTGAAAACAAGGGATAAATAAGACTTATAAATATAAAAGAATAATTAATATGCAAATAAGGACCGTGTTCAGAGCACACAACTAATCTAGAACACTAAAAGAAAATAATATAAAATTGAAGGAAACAAAGGAGTGGGTCCTACACCGAGAGGACTCGAAGATGCCGATGCGGAAGTGCCTGGACATCGGGATTGTATGCCTCGATTTTAAGTCCTCAAGGGGGCGCAAAACAAACATGAGTGGACCAAGTTGATATATATATTTAATAAAACAGTTATCAACATACTAACCCCCAGGTTTTATGAAAACA